CTAAGGAGCCCTTACCACAATAGGATTTTAGTTTTTTTTAATTTTGGTGTGTCTGTGGTATGCAACTTATCTTCCATTACTGCTTCTTTCATAAGCAATTTGGTGTAGCAAGCCATAGTGTGTCTTTGCAACCTAAACCAAATGAAAGTGCAGCCTCACCTTACAGATGTCGCAGCTGACATTAGCAGCTGTTTGATGCTAACTCCTGGTAACACATGGACAACCCTCCCTGTATTTTCAGGGTCTGAACGTTACAATCCAACACATGGTTGTTTTACAAATCTTCTTTTATTGCACAACCCTATTGGCCACTACAGTCTGGATCAGCAGGTTTCTTGGCTTGCCTAGATTAAACTCTTGAGCCAGAGCATTTTCTAATTATGCCCCTCAGCTACAACTCTCTGGCATTCCCAATCTCTGTTACTTAAAACAAAGCTGTTTCTTATGTTCTTTAATTTCCTGTACCCATGCCAGCTTACAATGGTGATTACAGCCTGATGGATAGGTAGGTAGACTGATGCTTTTAACTTTTCTGAATCAATGACACTAATTTTACTGTGATCAATTGAACAGCATCCTGTGAGGCTCCTGTGGAGGATGTTATATTTATGTTGCTTGTTGTTGTTGCCCATCCCTGTGCATCAGAGGCGAGTGCAATCCTGTGAAATGCTTCCCCGAGGTAACAGAAACCGAAGAGTTTGCTAAAAAATCTGAAGGGGAAGGCTTAATATTATACATCCAAAATGCTTCAGCAAAATCTCGAGACTTCTTAAAAAAAATCTTCAGAGGAAATGGTGTCAGTTGCAGAATAATATTCTCATGTGAGAATCTTACACCTAAATTTCTGTAGAGTGTTTTTATGGGAAGCAGCATTTTGTTTTCCTCTCAGTGTTTATAACACGTTCCCACACCCCGTGGGTTATCACTTCTGGTGGCTACGAAAGAGGGTGAGCAAGAATAAGGAGTAGGATATTTTGTCTCAAGTGCCTAGCCTCCAAAAGAAGGATGTGAGCTAACATTAATAGCATTATTGAGCTGGAGTTCATGCTTTTTGTGCTGAAGACACCGCTTTTGAATGCTCTTATACCTGAACATAATAGTAGAGAGCCGTGTACACTCACTGCGGAGTCAGACAGATCTTTTCACACCAGCAATCTATTGCTGAGTGGAAAAGGTTTTAGAGACGCGTAAAGACCGAATGAAACATGAAAGAATACTACGTGTGTTATAAACAGAAAATATTAGTCTGAGGTATCGTTGCTCGCTTTCACAGTCAGAGGAGTTGCATCTCCATGTCCCAGGGCTTTCCAAGCGGCTGTGGTAAAATGCTTTGTGAAGTGGCACAAAGGTTGTTCTGCATCAAAATGGACATTCCCCAGGAAGCAATATTGGCAGTGAACCTAAGAGTGACTTTGTAGCCTCTAATCTCGTGGTGCCGAGAGGTTCCTATGAAAATACATCTAAGTGCAATGCTCCTAATATCTCCTTTCTTTCAGGCTCTCTGGTTCAAAATACTGAAGAGATTAAGAGAAAAGCCTCTCTTTCATATTGAAATTAATGGCAAAATTTCCATTTTGCCTAAGATTTTTGGCAACTTATTCTATATGAAACCTAATTTCCAACCAACTGCCCTGCCTAGGCTTAAGTTCACCATTGAAGAAATAACTATCATGTTTCTCACAGCTGTATTCAGGTGTTTTAGCCATTAGCAGTAATGTTAAAATATGAGTGATAAGACCAGCTCAATGGAGCCACTTGGGATTGGTCTTTCGTGGAAGACTAAGGAAAGGCTGTTCACCTCTGGACACTTAGTTTCCACCCAAGCACAGTGTGTGAGTGCAGCCATTTTCTCATGGCAAAAGGAATGAGCTTTACAAAAATTTTTATGAGGGCCACGAAGATGATCAGAGAGATGGAGCACCTCTCCTATGAGGACAGGCTGAGAGAGTTGGGGCTGTTCAGCCTGGAGAAGAGAAGGCTCTGGGAAGACCTTATAGCAGCCTTCCAGTACCTAAAGGGGGCCTACAGGAAAGACAGGGAGAGACTCTGTCAGAGAGTGTAGCGATAGGTTGAGGGACAATGGTTTTAAACTGAAAGAGGGGAGATTTAGATTAGATATTAGGAAGAAATTCTTTACTCTGAGGCTGGTGAATCACTGGCCCAGGTTGCCCACAGAAGCTGTGGATGCCCCATCCCTGGAAGTGTTCAAGGCCAGGCTGGACAGGGCTTTAAGCATCCTGGTCTGGTGGAAAGTGTTTCAGCCCATGGCAGGGGATGTGGAACTGGATGATCTTTAAGGTCCCTTCCAACTCTAACCATTCTGTGATTCTATGATTCTGTCCTGTGTAGATGTGATGTCTTAGTGCAAATGAGCAGAAAGAGTTTTCTTCTCAGAAACCCAGAGGATCCATTTCTCAGAGCTCGTGAACAGTGTCAGCAGCACATCATCAGCACTGAAGGCTATCTGCAGCAGCAGATCAGAGGCAGAAATCTCGTGTCTCTGTTTCAGAGAGTGACAGCAGATGCTGCCTCTGGGAGAGAGGAGATTTAGTGAATAGGTTGCCTCAAAAAAGGACACGGATATACAAGAGACATTCAGTGTGCATCTGCATATTTTACGGGGAAAAAATCTGAGATTTCTGCATTTTAGGCTCTTCTAACTCAGTAATGTTACTGTAGTTTTTATTCAAATGTGGCTCTTACCAGGAAACAATGGGTAGTCAAAGCAGGAAAGATCTAGAAGGAGGCATTTCTAGGCTGGCAGGGAAAAAGATTAGAAATGTCTCTCTTTCTTTGTGAGATATAGTTACTATTATCTAAATTTTCAACTGATATAAACTGACTTGGCTCTACCTAGGGTGACAGAATGTTATTATATTCTTACTTTTGTGTTACATTTAATTCATTAAACATCAACTGTTATTTTTCATTTTTTATTCCCTTTTCTGAAGACTACTGCAAACAAGGATACGCACACATTTTGCAATGCTTCAACTCTCCTTTTTTCAGTGTTCAAAGTAGACTTACTTAAAAATTTGTGCTTGACTAATGATATTAAATTAAGCTTCTTAAAGTGTTGTGGAACGTCTAATGTTGGTGGCTGACACCATAAATTTGTATAACTTCAAAATCTATAGCAATGTATTCTCATCTCAACATGCAATACAGGGTTGCTATCCTGTGCTGTAGAGATTTGATTTGTATCAGTATAAAATTGATATTTAAAAAAAAAATCCTTGATTTTTATACTGAGGCATACTCTGCTTTCTCGGGAGTCAATTTCTTTCTTTGCGTGGCATTTTAATAATTACTTTTCGTTGTTTGTATTACTGCTTTGCATTTCAATTTTTTGGCAATATTCTTCTTTCACAAAAAAAATAGCAGTGGTTGAAAGACTATGGGGTTTTGCTGGGAGAAAAAATGTTAAAAACTGTACACATTGGACACACTCTACCTCACTGGTGAAGTGTCTAAAATGGCTGAATGTTACGATAATCATCCTATATGCCTCCTTCTAGATATTTACTACTTTGACTACCTATTGTTTCCTGGTAAGAGCCACATTTGAATAAAAACTACAGTAACATTACTGAGTTAGAAGAGCCTAAAATGCAGAAATCTCAGTTTTTTTCCCCTGAAATATGCAGTTCAGAAAACCTTGATTCCTCCATCTGACAGGTAGAACATCAAGCTCACCATCTGCCAGGACAGAGGGTATTGCTCTGTTGTCAAAAAACTGCCTGGAAGTTGGTCTCTCATAATGTCTCTGATCTGTGACCAATACCTCTTGTTCCAACCATCCCTAGTTGTATCAGGCAGAATTTGCACCAAATTGTACCGAATTCATCTTGATCTGAAGCATAAGGAGAACAGAGAGAGCTGGCATTACTGGAAGTTCTGCTGAGATCTGCTTCTCCATATAGTTAGATGATTCCCACCTAACAAATTCCTGAACACTGTAGGGCTCCAGGACACTGGCAACATCCTTGATCTCATATTCTCTTCCTATGATACATGCAGCAGTAAGTCTTTGCATACTGCTCTATGTCTTCAGTTTCTGGTGGGACATATTTTATGTTTGGAAAGTGGCTTGTGGTATGCAAGGGGTATGTGGAGTCTTTTGACAACTTATATCGCACCGTTCTGGGAGAGAGGGATGCTCACCGACCCGGGATCTCTTCTACCTTGTGTTTCACCTGATGATGGCTATTCAGTACTTACACAGGACTGCTGCTGGCTGTAAAGCAGAGAGCGTTCTTTATCTCTTCTGGCATATGGGGCTAGAAAATTATTGTAAAGAGTCTCAAAGTTTAATGAGAGCCAGTGAAATTTATGCTACCTGCATGCCATTTAATATGTGGACGTGCAAGACACATGAGGAAAACATTTTCCTGGCAGAAGCAGAAAAAATGTCATGACCCCAGACTACAGCGGTGAGTGGAACAAAGGGCTGGGTCTCTTAGATTAAAGATTCAGTCCTTGCAGGGGGTGAGTGCAAGGTCAGGTGTAGTAAGCGACGGGGAAGGTACTCAGATGGCACACGCTGATGTCGTCCATCCAGTGTAAGAGTATGTAACTGGAACAGCAGGTTCACCATCACGGTATTACCCACAATTGTAAGAGGAGACACCACGTTTATGATTCTTAATTAGGAATAAGCACCAAGAGAACTAATATTTAAGCACTACAGTCCTGCTTATGCACCTAATTCTGGTCTATTCCAAATATCTGAAATACTGGGCACTCATTTGCCACTGCAGCTTGAGCTATGGTTACCATTTCCCACTTTACCCTTTCAGAGGAAAAATAAGATTGCAAAGATCTTTGGTATTGTGAAGTTAGCATCCACCCGTTTCCTGTGTTTTCACCCAGTTAAGGAATTTACCATTGAGGATCTGTGGTCTTAACCAAGAGCATTCAATATGTTCCCCTGGGAATCAGTTTCTCCATGTTGAAGCCGTCTGTGATGCATTCAATGTATTGTCTTTCATGTTTTGCAGCACGTGCCCTGAGGGATACATATGTCTGAAAGCCGGGGAAAATCCTGACCATGGTTACACAAGCTTTGATACTTTTGGCTGGGCCTTTCTCTCTCTGTTCCGTCTTATGACACAAGATTATTGGGAACGTCTCTATCAACAGGTGTGAGATTGTTTTATTACTTTCAAAAATATAGAATAAACACATCATCTTGTTACAGTTAAATATCCATTGGGTAATTTACCTGAATCTATATGAAGTTCACCACTTCGTAAAGGTCATCGCATGGGATTTTTTGGTGGCTGGTGTAACATGAACTGATCTGTTGAGTCGAGCTCAAAAAAGGACAAGAGAAGCACCTGTATACTTGGCATATCTGGTTTTGCAAGGCATGATAATGAAGACAAATTCAGCAGATGGCAAGATTACCTGGTGCCTTTCAGTTCTCCCTGCTGCAGACTTTTCATCATGGACACTTGACAGCCAGGGGCACAGTGGAGGCAGAGTCGACGTACAGTCATTTGCAAGGTGGTCTGCTCATAAGTGCTCATTTTTAGCATGCATTTCCTGAAACATATGCAAACTCTGAAGAACTACATATGATAGTTTGGTACTGAATTACATGCTCTGTCCATGAAGCCACTGAAGATTTACTTCTGCACCTCAGAATTGCCAAAACCGGAGCATGCTCATAAGGGAATCAAAGGAATTAGTGCTGACAGATAATACTCTGAAGGTTCTGAGGTAGACATCTTTAAAGGTACTGGGGATTTCAGCTTCACATGCAGCCAGTTATCCAATTTCATTTCTGGAAAACATAAAACAATTAAATTGAAGATTCTTTAAACAACTGTATTCACGTACTTGGCACAGAGCTGCACGTACAACTCTGGAAGGCTGAAACGGTCATGGCAAATAAGGGTGAACATCACTCCCTTTTATTATTTAATGTTATAATATCACACAGTGGTTTCTATCACTAGCATCAAGTCATTGATCATGGGACACATCTATAATATACGGTCAACAGCACCCGAAGTTTGGTTCTTCTTACCCTGAGGCAGACATCTAAATAACATTCAGATGAGTTGCACCCTAAAAGTGTCTTTTTTTCCCCATTGACTGTAAAGGACCTAGACTGTAGACATCTGAAAGATGACATGAATCTACTTGCAAAGTTTCTGTGCACTGGACAAAAATAGATTGAGCTATGTGGGGGAAGCTTTCACTGCAGCTGATTGTAAGATTATTGATTCTCAAAGAAAACCAGCAGAGATATTTGGTAAAGGAGGAAAGCATTCTTCTTTTAAAAATGAATTCTACTGCAAGGCACATAATTTTTGAATAATTTATAAAAAATTATTGGTAAGAAGGATATTTCCTTGCATGTGGTTGTCATTTGTCATCAAAAGGACTCTGTTTGGGCTAGTAACAAAGGCTGAATTCAATTATATTGTAAATTTAAGTTTAATTTCTTTTTTCTTTTAAAAAGCATTGTAAACAAGTGTTAGTGATTTTACTTTCGTGCTTACAGACTCTCAGATCTGCTGGGAAGATCTACATGCTTTTTTTTATGCTGGTCATCTTTCTGGGATCATTTTACCTGGTCAACCTGATTTTGGCTGTTGTGGCCATGGCGTATGAAGAGCAAAACCAAGCCACTATTGCTGAAACAGAGGAGAAGGAAAGAAAGTTTCGGGAAGCCATGGAGATGCTAAAGAAAGAGCAGGAGGTCAGTAAAGTATGTGACATGATTAGCCTTGGGTAACTTGAACAGATGGTACCTTGAGATTCACATTCGCTTTATTTTACGTTTGTGTGATAATTGAAGTAAGAGTTACTTGAAAGCAGTTTAATGTTTATTGTCCTGGACAGAGCTATTATAATTCTTTCTAAAAGAAAACCAATGGCTCTTCCTGCTAGGATTTGGGGCCATTTAGGGTTTACAGAGTTGTACTGGCTTAATTGTGCCATATATGCCAGCAGAGGAAATTATATGGGTTGGCATTTAAGACATTTTAATGATGATATAACTACATCTGCATTTGAGCACAGAACAGCTGTTTTGGTAGCTGACCCATAGCCCCAGCTGAACCTTCTTCCACCACCACCACTTCAGCTCACGTTCGTTTTCTCACTGTCTCATTCAAACAGTCACGAATATCCAACTGTCCGATAATGAAGATAAAGATGTAGGATAACCCATTTGAAGCACATACAACTTAATTCCCAAACAAGTAAACAAGCAGATCTTGAGGTTAAGCTTTGCAAATTATAAAAAGTATGTGGGTTTAATTTTATGTTGTAAAATTAAACAAAACAGGGAGGCCAAATGGTCGATGTAGCCATATAGCCTTAATAGCACTAGTTAATTTGCCTATAGTTTGTGTGGGGTAGAAAGCCTTTATTAAACAGTTGAAGAGAACATTTTAGGTGCTGTGAACAAGAAGACAATAAGAAAATTAGTCTGAAATAACACGTAGCACTGTAGTTGAGAGAAATAAATCCTTTACACAATATAAACTAATATACATAATTTTCTTTTGGGTACATCTGGCTTCAGGGCCTAATCCAAAGCCCATTTAAATCCTTGGAAAGAAAATAGAAAATGCAATTCACCCTTGACAAAGTGCTAGTAGAGGCTTATACATGATTTAAGTCCTTTTAAAGATCCTCTTTGATGGTTTAAGTAATAGGTAAATGCAATTTAGTCCATGTACAGGCCCTTTGAACAGAGTAACTTTCTGCCATAACCTAAGGGAGCAAACTGAGCTCCAACTTGTACCTATTTTATACAAATTTTCATGTGTTTTGACTCCAGCTGAGCTCTTCCTAATAACAGTCAACTTTGGTACCCCAGCTATAATTAAAGATATTTAAGAATTTCCTTTTGAAGGCTTTGATTTCAGTTAAGCCTGTGTGTACACAAAAAAAAAAAAAAAAGGAACAGTAAGCCCTGAAAGTCAGAATGTGTCAAAATGAAGGCTGCTTGTGAAAACCTAAATTGTTCCCATTTGTCTATTTGCTTTATAACACAGTCTTTTCTTCAGCCAACCACGTCTCATTTTTCCTGTGCCCTGTTCAGTACAAAGGGTGGACAGTGCATGACTCAAGAGCAGCTCTTCACTTTCTCATCATTTGTTCTGTAGCCTTAGGCCAGCTGGAGCACACTTCCCAACTCGGGCATTCAAAGCCTGCTTCAAAGACAAAATGACTAACGTCCTCAGAGGTTTTTCTGTGCCTCTTGTCACTGGTTAGACTCCATGTGCTTCAAAAACACTCACTTGTATTTGCAATACTCCTGGAGAATTATCCTAATCTTATGGATTATCTATGGAGTAGAGCTGTTGGGGTCCATCGTGTTCAGTAGTGAAGCCCAGTAATTCTGGAAATCAACCCCCGACATTTCAAATTAGGCATCTGGAAAAAGAGGCTCAGGAAAGTGAATTGGGTGGCTGCACCATGTAGCTTTCGGATGTCCTTCTCGGGTGTCTTGCCCCAGTAAGTTTTAATCTTGCTCTCCAAACCAAGATCTTGGGTTTGACTTTCTCACTGTACCTCTAAGTTCTTGCCTCAAGGTCTATTTCCTCCATAAATCCCATGTCAGGGCTCGTGTGAGCTAAGCTCTTCTCCTTCAGCCACCATCCATCCCAGATGTGCCCGGTCCCAAACTCCTTCCTTGCCCTGGGAGTCATTGTAGTGAGTTATGGCTTGCAATGCCTGAGGGGCAGGACACGGCCCAGCCATGGGAACCCAAGCAGAACAGGCAGATAGGCAGGACATGGGGTCACCCTCTGTGCCCTGAGAAACAATTTAGTCCAAATCCTTTTTCAGGAACTGAAAAAGGTGTGCAGGGCAGAAGCATTTCAACCCAAGCCATAGGTAAGAAAATGCCGAGAAACTGAAAATTGCCTTATTATGCAGTAAGAAAACAGCACGCTTAGTAGCACAACCTACAATATTTTCTAGATCAATAAGACATGATGGCAATCAGAAAGGAAAACCAAAACTCTTTAGACCCTCTTTTACACTGTGCAGCATAAAGAGAGCACAAATATAATTGATAGGCCTGCTTGGGGACTACCAGTCAATTTGCACAATTGGTCTAACACATTCCTAAACCTGAACTTAACACCAAAAGACTTGCTGAATCTTTATGAAGAGAAAGCACTTCAGCATAGCAATTAAATAAATTCAGTTGGAGAAAAAAAAAAAAAAAAAGGGGGGGGAAAAAAAAAAAGGAACAGCCTAGACCAGTGTCTGAGCCCTCCTCCTCTCTGCTCTAAGCAGCTTGCTCATGAAAGATATTTCCCACAGGAATTAAGTTTTGTTGTGCTCTCAGCTTGATAGAGCTACCGCTACTGCTTGAAATACATGATTGATTCTTTACACGGCTGTTAAGTGCCTTCACTTTCCTTGGACTGATGCCTGTGGGAGGAAGGGAGTATTTTGCTGCGGAGAGCTGATTGCCTGTTTGATTCTAGTGGCTTACAGACAATAGCACTGAGGATTCATCCGTTTCTCCTGTTCTTGGGAACCTGGAGAGGCCTTTTTTTTATTTTTTTGATAATTCACTCTCTTTATGTATTTCGGCTGGACGCTCTGCAAATGGGCTTGTCTCCAGGCCACTGATGTGGCGACCGCTGAGACGCTGCCGGCACCTCCAAACCTGACCTGGTGCTTTGTGCTCAGACCCCCTTCGCTCCTCCTGCCCGCACCAGGGATGGGGACCCAGCACCCTGGCGTGGGCTGCGGGAGGAACCCACAGGAATCAATTCCTCCTCCTGGCTGCTCATTTACTTCCAAGGCTGGGTCTTTGTGCGCTCAGGCTTTCGTATTCGGCTTCTGCTGGGTTTCTAGCAGTTGGTCTGTTATCAGTCAGCTCCTGCAGCGATCCCACCAGATAGCCAGCACAGCACTGAAGCACACGGCGAAGCAAAGTCCACCTTATCTCCAGTTAAGCCCACGGTTTTCTCTTTGCGTCTCTCATCATAGCTGCCTGTGCTGCTGCTTGGGATAAATGTTTACAATGACATCCCAGCTGAATTACCCACTGTTCCTCACATCCTTCTGTGACAGGGGAGGAAATATCCCCGAAGACAGCCTGGCTGCCCTCCTGTCCAGCCCTCCCGGTTCAAGGGGATGAAGTCCAGGGAGAGCTTAGTCTGAGGCTGCCCAGCTTGAGAGTTTTTTTGACTGCCACCAGAAGGGTTACTCCTGGGATGTGTGTGCAGCGTACACCCGCAGGCGTACGCACACAGGCTGTTCCTATTATGAAATGTCAAAGGATCTTCTGTGTGAGCTCTACATAAATCACATTTTTTCATGCAGCCACTCCTAATGCTCCATCACAGGATCTGGGTGGCCAACCTGCCTGTGTGCATTTGTACCAGGAACATGTCTTGCTTGTTGTTTATTTTCCGGTGGCTAAATGTAGAGGTTAGAAACGAGTTAAGACTGGTTTCCACCATGTGAGATAGTTTTATAGAATCACAGAATGGTTAGAGTTGGAAGGGACCTTGACGATCATCTAGTTCCAATGCCCCTGCCATGGGAAGGGACACCTCCCGCTAGACCAGGTTGCTCAAAGCCCCGTCCATATAACTTGGCCTTATGATTAATGACCACCTGAGATTTTTAATTTATCTCCTATGCAAGCTTAAAACAAAAAATAATTGTTGAGCAGAGTTATTGCTAGTTCTCACTGAGATCCTTAACTCAAATTTTACACCTTCTACCATCTTCCTTTTTAGGCACTAGCTGCTAAAGGAATTGATTCAATGTCACTTAGTTCATTGGAAATGTCACCCTTAGCATCCAAAAATGCCAAGGAAAGAAGAAATAAACGCAAGAAAAAGAAATCTATAGGGGGAGAAGAGTATGGGGAAGACCAAAGGAATCCCAAGTGTGACTACGACGATGGTCAGAGGAGAATGGTAAGCCATGGTCTGAAATGTCACTTATTCCACATTGCACTTTGCTGGATAGGCCAGGCTCTGAATAGGCAATTCAAGCTGAAACTTTCAGCTGTAGAGAATAATCAGATATCTAATGACTGACCTGCAGACAGCTGGTTTAGAACAGTGGAAGAAAACATATTACCACTTTATTTTCAAAATGAATTAAAAATGCCCATTAAACATTCTTACAAATCTATTTTGTTTAAATTTTTTTTGCGCTTTTTTTTTTTTTTCCTTCAAGATTACCCACAGTCTGGTTTATTTTCTTACGTTAATTTCATTCATCTGATTATATCTATCCTATCCCTACTAGAGACAAAAAATTCTTAGAAGAAACCTGCAAAGCTTAAAAAGAAAAGAGAGGAGGAGAAAAGGAGGAAACTTGTCTCTGAGGGCTTTTTAAAGGCTGTACAAAGATGTTATTAACATTTTTATATTCCTTTGCTAGTTGCCTTCAAGTCAAAACTTTGTGGCACTTGTTTCTACTTTCTATTGCAGGGAAAAAAGAGTAGAGTGAGACTGTTGTTTAATAGGGTTTTATGTAAATGTTACTGACATGCATGAATATGAATCTGCACATGCTGTATGTATCAAATGACCGTAAATAGCTTCAGACAATTTGTCTTTGCTTAACTGAGGGCAAAGTTTAAATCAGTTTATTTTGTTTTTTTGAATAGCCATGTAATGGGCTAAGTCTTTTTACATTTTGTTGTCAGTGAATTTAGGGATATTTGGCAGCCATAAAAACCTCATAGAAAACATGTAAGTGATGTAAGTAAATGTGACCAATTAATGACTCTCCAGCCCACAAAATTTACACAGAGCTGGATTTCTGTAAATGACATGCATTTTTTAATCTAATAGGTTTTGTTGTTTTCTCATTGGTTGAGTGGGTCGCGTTACAAATTACGCCTTTGTTAAAGCTAGAATTGCTCTTTAGCTTCATTCTGGATGGGTTTCAAGACACCACGTACCAGAATGACCGTGGATTGGAGCTGTGCATTGCCAGTTTGTTTCCTAGATTATTATTTCTTGTTTCCACTTTTCACTCCTGGATGTCATATGCATGAGAAACATGGGAGAGACATTTCAAAGCTTATAGTAAATCTTCTCTGCAAGGCTGTGACTGGCGTGGTTGGAGGGAGTGAGGCTGAGTCATCATTCAGATGCAATCTGAGCAGCTGGAAGTGTGTTGCCATCAGAAATCAGTCTCAATGACTGTGCCATGGAAACCCGGGCATGGATTTTTGACCAGTTAAAATTTGGTAGCAATCCAAATGAGTTGTTTTTAGTTAGGAGGGGCCTGGGTTTTGTGCTCTTCTTTGTACTAGTGTCACAAAATAGCATCATTATGTAACTCAGCGATGTGAGCTACGGTGTGAAATGAAATCAGGCTTCATTTGGTTTGTCTGGTTTGCGGACGCTGTGGAGATCAGACCTCTCTTCATATATACTTGGCTTATCAGAAAGTTCTGAAGAAGCTGAAAATTCTGTACAGGCCATAAAATCAAAAATGTTTTCTGCCTAGATGCTCTTATTCCAATAATTTCCTCTCCAGATACAAGGGAAGGGGAAAGACTTGAATTCCTTATGCATTTTCCAAACATCCTTTTTACTCTGCCAGGGTTTAAAGGTGTTTAGTGCTTGGCTACTTCTTGCTGATGCTCTGTCAGAGTTGCACTCTCACTAGCTGACGTCAGAGTGGATCGTCAAGGCTGATATTTGTGTGTGAGGGAGACTGCTGTGTACTGAGGTTACCTGCCCCTGAAAGCAGCCATGTGCATTGGGATAATCATTCTACAAATTATAATAAACCATAACCCTCTTCTTGCTCTTGGTTTGTTTTGTTGTTTTTTTTCCTTTATCACCTTCTTCCGTCGTATTCTGCTTCTTCTTCTTCCCTCTTCTCATTTTCCCTGCAGTTCATTTCCTGCCCTCTTTCTTTATCTCTTCTTCTCCCACTGCAACGTTCCTTCCCTAGACGTTACGAAGATGTGTGATAATGCAGTAAACTGGAGCTGGATCCCTTTCCCTGCTCCTGTCTTCCACTACTTGTGCTGCCTTCCCAGGTCTGTTGGCACTTACCAATTGGGGAAGGAGTAGAAGCAAAGGGAATATCATGCTACAAGGCGAATGCCACCTTGACCCTTCCTATTTCAGTACATCTTAGTCAAGTATTAGACAAATACCTAATGGCTAGGCACGACTATTCAACCTCTTAACTTTGCAAAGGTTGAGCACGTGTAATTAACTCTTTCTCTGAACCACTTGATTTAAAATGGAATTTACTGCTCTCCCCAGACCTTCCTCGCTCCTGAAAACATGTTGCAAAATGTTGTTTCTCTTTCCCCTTTTTCCTTTCTGGGGGTTTCTAGACTCTCCTTGGCATTAGTTATGGTCCCAGTGCAAACTTGGTGAAGCGCAGAACCAGCCACGGAAGCATATTCAGTTTCCGACTCCGTGGCAGAGACACTGGCTCCGAAACAGATTTTGCCGATGATGAGATCAGCACTGCTGGGGAATATGAAAGCCACCGGGGCTCTCTCTTAATTCCAAGATCTGGGAGGCGTCCAAGCGTGCAAAGTCAAGTGAGCCATAGTTCTCACCCTCCTACTCCCAACTACACCCAGACGGGCAAAAGGAACAGCTCAGTGGATTGCAATGGTGTGGTTTCCCTGATAGGAGGAGGCACCGGGGCACTCAACCCAGACCCTACTTCTCCTGCAGGGTTACTGCTCCCCCCAGTTATTATGGAAAAACCTGGGACAGGCGACCTGGTGAGTACTTTATAACTTTTGTATGTGATTCATGCTCTTGTTTCCTTCTAAGTGTTGTTGGAGTTTGCTGTAATTGATCTATGCGATTTGCGGTCTGCGATGAGAAACCCAGACCCACCGTTCTAGGCAGGGTGGGAGGACAATGAGCTCACTCACACAGCAACGTGTGTCTTGTGCTGCCTGAGAGACGATCATAACTTCTGCTGACACTTACTCTTCAGAGCTGGCTGGAGGCAAATACCTTGGGTTTGATAGGAATTTTCTTTTCTTGTAGGGACATTTTTTAAGTTGGTTTCTCTTGACGTTTGAATAACTGACATTGTCCAGTGGCTAGAAAATGATGTTTTTAAAACTATTTGCTATGAGTCTGACCATCTTGAGGCTGCGTTTTCTCCCACTGGTTACTACCTGTTAGTGTCTAACCTCTGGTCTTCTGTATAGCTACTTGCGGAGGGCTGTTCTTACAGTCCAAAGGTAGCTCCCGGAAGGGTTTAGCATCCAGTTAAAATGACACTCAGGAAAGATGAGCAGATGATCAACAGACTTCCAGCCTCTTGCAGATTGCCAGGATCTTTGTTGCAAAGCACCACTGCCGCAAAATATTTAATAAGGCTGTAAATAAAACTATTAAGACTGCTACCAGTAGGACCCAAGCGCGAATTCAGTCGGAAAACCATGAGATGATGTTTTGGAAACCGCTGCTACACAAGCAGGGCAATTTGGACAGGTTGCAAGTTTGATATGGTGGGGATTTATCTCTTTTAATGTAGACAGTCTATGTTGGAGCTTATTACTCTCAACAGTCTGTAAAGCAACAGAGGTCTGGTCACTGCAGTCAGCGTGGGCAGGGTTTATATCATCTTAGAGATCTAAAATAGGTCAGAATAATCTCTCTCCCTAAAAGTGCCTCTTTCCATTCACTTTAGCTACAGGGGGAGCCCAAGGTGAATAACTCTGTATTGTGTGTGTCTTAAGGCAGGTGAGATGAAACCCACTCAGAGAAACAAGGTGCCAAAACCAGGTTACATTGGTGGGGAAATAAGCAAATGTGATTCTAACATGTATCAGGCAAGGTATTTCCTGAAGAGAAAGGCGAGTGAGATGGATCCCAGCCGCGGTGTCAGATTATCAGTAAATTGAGAAGTAGCTTTTCTTTCTCTAGAGCCAGCGGCTTCTTCCCTTTCAAGCTTTGGATTGAATTTTTTTCCTCCCTATCCGGGCATTCCCTGTAGTCCTACAAATAGAGTCTCACACTGTGCGTGAGAGGAGGGGCCGTGCTGCGTGTGGGAAGCCGGGTGGTGTGAGAATTATCTGTTTTGTTGACAGTTTTGAGGCTGTTGCCGCTTTTTCAGATGTTCACAACTTCATTAATTTGGAGCTTTGCTAGTCCCATTTTTATTCTCTGCAGACAAAGATGACCAGTCCTGAAAGCATTCTCTAAGCAGCTGAGCAACACAAACACTATTGTAGATGGTGGAGTTTTATTGGACTTAGCTTGGTGCAAAATACGCTGTGGGTTAAAGAAACTGTGGAAGAAACAGTTTCTGTCTCTCTTTTGAAAAAAATAAATAATCTGAACCGAAGTAGAAAGGCTTCAGTAGATAAGCAGTGCATGTCCCCCTTTTCTCTGCAAGGAAAGCAGCTCTGTGGGCTGCTGAGGCTCTCCCAGCTGTCTGAAAAAGCTTAACAAAGCATGAGAGCACTCAACCTTTCACAGGAAATATTGGTATTTTACAGGATGGGGCCCTGAGTTGACAGGGAGGCTTTGAGCTCTGCTGGCATTTCTTTTCATTCGCCAGCTTCCTGCCTTTTTAAAAAATGGATGTTGAAAATTAAATGGCCTGGGTGGGTGAGCTCGCTTGGCAGTTCCCCGGTCATCTAGGAAATAACACCCAGGCGCTATAGTAACAGATGCTCATTCAGTGATGCAATGTGAAGGATGTTGTGTCTTCTGCGAAACAGGTTTGGTATCTAATCTATCCAGAAAATGTGAGCTGGAGTTAAAAGCTAATTGGCAAGAAGCCCATTGCTCTACAGATGTATTCGCTACAGGAGCTATAAGCGCTGGGCGCAAACGTGCAGCCTCAGCTGTGGAGCGTGTTGTGATTATTTTTGCCTTTCTCTTGTTAAAATTTGAAGTTGAGTTTGTTCTTTGTTAGCAGCTCTGGCTTCTTTATGTAGTCTCTTGATATGTTTGGGGGAGGCAAAAGAAAGATGTTGTAGGGTGAAGTTATAGTTACCTCATTAACCTCACTGACCCTGCCACCGTTATTTGTTTTGTACGAGGGTAAGCCCATGGTGAAAAAGGACCCACTTGTGCTATCTGTTGTATCTTCCGTGAACAAGAGATGAAGGACCAGTCCATGAAAAGACGTTGCTGTAATGTGTGTTTAGCCTTGACTTGCAGCTCCCTGAGGTGTAAGTGTGGCTTCACTCCATAAATGCAACATCTGAGTTGATGGAGCTGGCAAAACACATCCCTCTGTGATGCTCAGTAGTATCAGATAAGCATAACACAGACCTGTCTGATTGGTACTGAGGGGGGAGACCACTGAATTCTGCTTTGAGGAAAGCTTGGAGGGGTAATTCTGATTTAAAAGGGAGTGTGAACAGCAAACATGACCTGGCCATCTCTGGTTTTGAGTTTCCAACCTGCAGCCTTTAAGCAGGCTGTAGTTTCAGCAGATGATTTCAAACTGGGCCTTCCAAAGGTTTCTCACGGAAAGCACAAAAAGTCACTAGCCACTTTTGAGAATTTTTGCCTGATCAGTTTTAGCAACATTCAGCCTGAAGATTTTACCCCAGGCAAAGTAATTGGGACCACGATGAACAACTTTCATGCCTTTGTGTCATTGCAGCTGCTACCCCCTGTCCTGTTTGTCCATGGGAATGGCTGCGGGTGGCATCTGAGCTGACATGAAGGCATCTGAGCTGACATGAAAGCATCTGTGCAGCTTGTGCCCTCTCCCATGAGAGAAGCGGCTGCAGCAGGTTATCCCACTATTCAGACTGCTGCCTCAGATGAGTGGTCTCCTGACACTTGGCTGCAGAAGACCATGTAACCAAAAAAGCCACTTTCAAATGCTTTTCAAATGGCCCTGGCTGCTTGGCACAGATGGAGTGTGTTTCCATGAGAAACCAAGTGAGCTTGCTCTTTCCATCTCTTCCCCCTAATCCCTAAATACAGTTAGTGAAACAGGAGGGATTTCAAATAATCTCAATGGATGCTGCTTAGGCACATCAGTCTTGCCAGCTGGGGTAGTCTGACTGGTCAGGAGGCTTGCTGGCCGTGGACAGCATGGTCCACGCAGCATGGCATCCGTCGATGCAGTCTTCTGCATCAAAGAGGTCCTGCCAAGTCACCAGGGGCTTCAGTGCACAGCATGAGCATGAGGAGGGACATCCTGTCCTCTGCAGGGAACCCACGCGTCTCTGCATGCTTTGCTACGCCCATTGATGTTCCCATGCAACATAAGAGCACCCGCAAGGACTGATGGCCGCATTGTTGCGGAGCTGCCCTTGGCAGCACGGAGGGTTACACTGAAGTGTGCAAGCTAGAAAGACCGCTGAGGTCATATGAAGAACCAAGTAGTGCAATATGAACATATGATCTGTAAAAACTCTCCACAAAGGTGGCTCTGAGTCAGGCTGTCTTCACCTGGATGTGAAAGAGCAACAGGAGTTCAAGTGTGAGTGGTGCAGGGAGCTTGGCCCAAGAAACCCATGCTAACTCCTAGTCTCTCTCCTGGAAATCTCCAGTGTATCCTGCAGAGGACTGAATCAGGGCTGGGTCTGTTCTCCTACCAACTTTCTTCAAGTGGTGCAGCTGCTGATTTCGTCAAACTTACCCCAGTGTAAATAAGACACAAGCAGGATCTGGTGACTATGCGTAAAGTCCTAATTTATTTTCACTTGACCTGAGACTGTGAGGTTTGAAAAATAATATATTTTTATGCTTCTGCTGATTGCTGGTCTGGGAGTTTGGGTTTTCACCTTTTTTTATACAAAGTCTATACATTATGTAAGTAACTTCAGGGCATGCTATAACCTAAAGCTTCTGTGCATTCTTGTAGTATCTATTTGTAGCGATGTATTGCTCTGTTGTGTCTTGGTGTTTCTTAGTTAAGAGGTTAGAATAACATCTCCCTTCACAAGGTATTGATCTGTTTGAACAGAATTGGATTAAGTTAACGAGCTGTTATCTGGAGCTCAATTTGTCCACGGGATCTGATGAGGATGAGTAAGATGTCACTTGTGGTTGTCAAGAATTTCTTGAGCATCCCCTCTTGCCTCCTTCGGCCAACTGGAGCCCTTTCTGTAACTCTGCAGGGAAATCGAAAGGTTTTTTGTTCAGTGTGACTTTCCAGTTATTTTGCAGATTAAAAGTGGCAGAGAAATGGGTGCAGGACTGAGGAGGTGGTGGTTTGCAAGTGGGCTGTTAGCTGGTGGTCCCCACTGCTTTGCTCTCTCTGGGGCACCTCCTCACCAGAGCTTCCCATCACCCCAGGAGCAGAGTGGGGCCACCTGTGACATGGCTTTGGGATGGTCAACGAGGCTGAGGTTGGATCTATCCAGAGTCTACCTCTTCCACATACAACCTTTTCTGACTTTTCTCTTGGTCACACATGTTTTTTCTTTTAGGAAACTAGGAATACCGAGTATTGCTAACTTGACAGGAGTGAAAACTAATGGGGAGTGAGGCCGTAAGAAAGGACAGGTTGCTTATGGAGGTGCTGAACTAAAGATTTAGAAGCTTATCTCTAGATAAACTTTTTGGTCTTTTTTATTAAAAAAAAAAAAAAGACCTTGGCTTTTGTTGCTGCTAAGCATAAAACTGTTTTGCTGACCACAGTGGTTCGAGGTTTTCTTGTTGACCCTAGAACCGCCCCAAGGTAAAATTTCTTTTTTTCCTTTCTTGCTTTGCCACGGGACTGGTGAGAAGAGAAAGTGTTAGCAGTTTCCATGTTCAGAAAAAAGGTCAATAAAATAAGTCATCCAAAAATCGCCGCCAATAAGTTACATGGACGAAAGCTAGCTAGCCCTCTGCCGCTGTCACACAGAAAGTTTTCACCGTGGCTCTAGTTTCTGCTCATTTCAAACTCTGCTTTAGCACATTCTAAGCGTAAACCATTCAGATTTGACACAAATATTGCAAGCTGCTCCAGTGATACAGTGCATCTCTTTAAATAATCGAGCATCCCCAAAATTAAATAGCTTCTTTTTTAATGCCGTGCGCTATTATGGTCACCTTCAATCTCATTAAATACTTGTGCTGGTGCCTTACTGGGTCCATTGTTCATGGTGTGGCCTGTCCACCTCTTTTTATGCTTGAAAAGCTTTTTACTGTACAAGGAAAATTAAACCTGTCCCAGTTCCCAAATGTGGTCTTTAAAATGCTGCCATGTATAAGCCCATCTTCACGTAACAGTTTTGACATAGCTCAGAACTGTAGGCACTCAGAAGAAAATAAATCTGCAGTGTTATGCATCCTCATTTACATGTAAATTACTGAATGGTATGTTTGTCCCTATAGAATTTAGCTGATCCAAAGGAGAAACATTTCCAGTCAATCAGGGAGCAACAAATAATCTTGTCCTGCTGGAGATGCCTGTGTTTAGCTTCATTGTGATTTCTCATCTGGTTCCTAAGGAGACTCCTTACATAACTATAGGGACTGTTGTTATTTTTGCTTAATTTCTATAGAAATATAAGTATGATGAACAACTGTACCTGTGTATATTACCTCTGTAATGATAATAGCCTTTACACTGCCTTGTTTGTCCAGTTCATGGAACTGCTCTCTATCTCAGAGTGCAAAAACCGCCAGTTCCTCCTGTGACTATTAGCTACCTCTGTTCTAAAATAAATAATATTTAAAAAAAAAAACAACCCGCTCATGTATCTATTCTTTTCAAAGAACAAAAACTCATAAACTTCCCTAAGTAACTTGAATAATTTTAAGCAATTTACCTAGATGGAAACTTTCTTTCCTGGTTAAATACTTAACATTACATGACATGCTATGTGATAGATGTACCGCTCTACGGGGAAAGAGCCCGCATCCTCCTGCAAGAGCACAGGAGCATTCCTTACACCCCAGCACTGCCTGCCGGACACCGTGTCCTGGCTCTGGGGACAAACCTCTGTTGTGGCTGGCACGGATCGGTGGGATTCAGGTTCTACCCTGTGGCGGGGACACGTGTAGCCGGACGGGTGGGCGCCTGTCACATGCCATAGCATTTGCTCTGAACGTGGGCCAGCAACAAATTGCACCACCTCACCCCTCCAGAGATGAAGGAAGGAAGGAGCCATAAATATATCTCCTTCAGAAACAGCCCTTTGCACCCGGAGGATGACGCACTGCAAGCATTCCCCTTGACTGCAGCAGGACTCCTGAAGTCTGGGGGCCCGCTTCTCGTGACACAGGTAGCAGGACTGAGGATGCTGGGCTGGAAAAAAAGAATAGAGTGGCTTAAAAATATTTTTTGTTTGGGAATATCACATCAAACCTAGGGAAAAAGTCAGTTCCCTACTAGTTGGTTTTGTTTTGTTTTTTTCTGAAGGATACGCCCAGCCTGGATCTTTGGTTTACCTTGGTTTAGCTGAATCAAAAAAAAATAGGAAGAATGAATCTCTGAATGTTTTTCCTTCAACTTTTAACCTCCGCAATGAATTCTCTTTGCACCTGTGAATAAAAGGTGGCTTTCAGATAAAGGCCACCAACCCACAACTTCTGCAAAAGCACTTCTGCATGCATGAATAGGAATGTAGTATCTTCCTTGACAGTCAGAAAACCTGGACTTCTGGGGATGAGGTTGTATAAAGATGTGCTACTGGTATGTGTTAAGCTTTGGGTCAAATGGGATGGGAAGATGGTACAGTTTAAAAAGAGTTAGATGATCCAGAGGAATTTGAACTTTGAGGTTTTATTATGGTTCATTCTAGAATTAGAGGAAACTGGAAGAGTTGGGGTTTGATTTGGATTTTTTTTTTTTCCTTTTTCTTTACTTTTACATTTTTGGCTTACTCTGCTTGTAAGTTTGTGTCCCTCATTTGTTTTATTTGCCCTCTTTTTCTAGTTATTTCTTTTCAGTGTCACGTATTTGTTATGTGCTCCAAACTGGTGCGGATGATTATGCAATGTTGTAGATGCTTTCTTCATTAATAAAACATTTGTTGTTTCTTTGGGGTTTTTTTATTGGATGTTTTTGAGGTGAAGGGAATCAAGCGAATAACGCATCTGAAATACCGTTCCTGGTTTCCTCAGCTCCAAAGCACAGGATAGAGTGATTTCTTGTTATGTTGTGCACAAGTAGGAGTCTCTTTGAATAGGTTGTGATTACATGTCTCCTTTTGAGATGACTATGTCAAGTAACTCAATGGACAATAAGCCAATTGTTTTAACAAAAGAGAACACTTAAAAAAAAAAAAAAGAGAAAAAAAAAAACAGCCCAACAAATCAAAAGCAGCCGTTTTAAGAATTACTGCTTTCCTGGCTTAGCTAATGTTTCAAGTCCTTGCTTTAAAAGTCCTTACTCTTCTCTGGTCTTGGAGCGATTGGTATTTTTATCTGCAGTACTTTAAGGTGACCTGGGACCAGTATCCTAGCTATTATTTTCAGTGTCAACTGGTGGCCAAGTGTCTTTGTCCTTTGCGACCACTTGACAAGGGAATGTCCCCTGCCCTAAAGAGATCCCACTCCAGAAAGACGGCTCAAAGAACTTCAGTGCTTTTCTCCTGTCATTCTTATGGGATTACCTTTGTTGAAGAGCAGTTTCAACAGAGAAATGATGAAGAGGAGGGATCCTGAGTCCCTCTGGGTGCATATCCCAGGCACAGAGAGCAGAGTTGTGGAGCTGCTGCCCATGGCCCGTCTTGGTTGGCATCCTGGGCGCTGCTTGGGGTGATTAGGGCCATTTCAGATCCAAGTGATGAGAGAAGATCCAGAAGACTGAATCCAATTCCTGTACCTCATTTGACTGTGGAGAAGCAAAAGCAGCTACTCTGATAACTGTGTAAACCAAGGGTTATCATCTTCATAGGGATTTCTTCTCCTTGCACATTTCCTTGAGCTATATTGCAAGAGCCATCAGGACCCATCTCTCTCCAGTGCCTGCCTCTTGCTTATGAAGTGTCTTGGACCTCACAGCCTGTATGCTTGGAGGAGCAGGATGAAGGCTGTTAGAACATTTATTTTGGTAGACCGAGTGTCTTGACCAGAAGGTCTGTGACAGAGAATGGCGTTGAACTTGGCTTTCCCAGATCCTTACGTCTCCACCATCACCTTTCCTTCTACCTGTGGGAGAGCCGGAGGAGTAAAGCAAGCGGGAGTTTTCTCTGTATGAAGTGGGAGTTTGTAATAATATGTGTCTTAACATCTTGCTCCTGTGAGCTGGCAATATGAAGTATTTAATACAGTGTGTGTCTGCTGCCATACTGTGTTCCGGCTGACTTCAGAATCCCAAGCCTTCAAAAAGCATGAAAGTAATTTAAAATGAAACATTAAATAAAGACAGCTTGGGAGCTCTGATTTTCTGGTATTTGATTTCTTTGTTGTTATTTTTTTTTTTAAGCTTTTGCTTGAGAAACATGAAAACTAGATAGTTTGGGTTTTGGTGGTTTTTTTTTTATTTTTCCTGAGAAAAAAGAAGCTGAGATTTTCTCCTAATTATGGAGCTCCAGAATCGGTGACACCAAAGATCACCAGAATGACAATATGTTCCTGAGATTTGGCAGTGTTTCAGAACAAGAAAAAGCATGTGTTGAGGAGTCAGTTTGCTTGGTATGATATCAGAGGTCTGTAATGGAGCTGTTACCCACGCCCCTTTTCCTCTTCTAGCTGTATAATTAAACAGTTAACACATTTCAGAAATAATGGAATAATTAACGTAATTAAGCAGGGCTTCTTTCACAAGCACAGAGCATGGTAAAGCAGCACTGCTGTTTCTCTGGCATTGGAAGTGTCCCTTTATTTTTCACCTGCATCTTTCACCTGTTTACATGAAGGTCAAGGGCAGAGCAAAGCGTCCACAATTGCTCGAAGTGCCATTTCCAAAAGCAGTGCCCCATCAGCATGTGTCTAATTGGGCAATCAGTGAGTTTTGGACTTAGCTGGGAAAAATAGTGCTTAGGCCATTTTGAAAATGCTACCCCATATCTGCCTGGCTTTTTATTCTGCTAATCCAATGTGTTCATTTAAACAGACCTCTCCCTCAGACGAGGCAAGCAAGAAGCAGCTCTTAATGCCCCACCGCCCATCGGTGGACCACTCGGACGAACCCTTTCAGAGGCAGAGGGCAGTAAGTGCTGTCAGCATCATCACCAGTGCCCTGGAAGGTAAGACACGTCTTTACTTCCTCAACTCAAAGCCATATGGACTGGCAGGAACAAGTGACACAAAAGATCCTAATCCTGAACTCTTGTTGTTTTGCAGGAAGTCATAACATAGTTATTCCAATCCCTACAATATAGGTGAAGCTGTAACAGAAGGCAATATAATCACTGTCTTGCTCATTCACTTGTGAAAATTCTGACAAAATGCTGGCCATACAATCAAAAAGTCAGATCTGGTAATGTTTTGTGTCCCCATGGCATTTGATTTACACCAGGCTAACCGGGATGTGGGGTAGTGGAGCACCAGACTGTTTGGGTGATGTTTATATCTCATCTCTCTGGAGCTGATGGCATGTGCAGTCACCAGCCATGTGCAGAACTTCCAAGTTGTCGGGGAGGAAAGTCTCCTCCTTGCAGAGCATCTAGTGGGACACAACAGTTTGGTGGGTGTTTGAATCCCACTGTGAAATTTAAGGATGCTCAAAGGACCGTTTTGTCCATGCAAATACTTCCAGGCAATTTTTTCCATTGCTCATTCAGCTTCTCATTAGATGCGGGAGGATTTCCCTTCCTTGCCTTTCCATACGAAGGAGCTTTGCATTTCCCTTTCACAAGTTTATCAATAGCAAGACAACCACTCATAGCAAGACATCACATTTCTATGCCCTTTACATGCAGCATGAAAGGGCCTCTTACAGTTCCTCCTGTCTCCTACTAGACAAGACAGGAGGTTCCAACTGAGAGTATAGAAAAATGTCTGCCAAGGACACAGCGTGGAGGAAGGGGAATTTTGGATCCTCCTCCAGCCTTATTCTCTGTGTTACGGATGAACAGGAAGGCAAGGCAAGGCAGGCTTATCTGGGGGATGCCTTCTAGAAAGAGACTGTACCCAACTCTTTGGAGACAGCCCAGCGTGTAACCACAAAGCCCTTCTTCTTCCTCAGCTCTTTACCATCCCCTGTGGTTATATTCAACAGTATTGTGGTGAGAGCAGATATATATATATATATATATATATATATATGTTTAAATAAATAAAGAGTCATATTCTTAATAGGTAAATAATCACTTCAGTGTATTCCAGTGTTTAGTGTGGTCTGCAAAGGTTTTACTTGTTTTCTGTGGGGTTTTTAGCAATTAGCTCTGTGATTGATTTGCTTCTTTGTAATGTGTTAAGAATGCCTAAAAGGGCTGAACTGGACTTCTGCTTATTTATTGGATGGTGCTTTCTGTGACTTTTTCTCACAGAAATAGAGACCATCAAGTCTAGTGTAACACAGAGGATGTACATTTTTAGCCTCATATAGAAGAAAACTGTTTAAATCCTTATGAAAGGTTTTCTAATTCCCAGAGTTTGATTAGTCATTGAAATTGAATACTTGTTAACAACAAGAGGAATATCAAATCGGAATAAAATGTATCACAGGCTTTAGCTACAATAATAGCTGTATAATTTGTGCCAAATTGTGTGAAACAGCCAGACCAGAAATCCCTTCCCCTTTAGTTACCTGGTTTCTGCTCTTGGTTCTTGGGTAGTCATCACCTGCCTGTTTTTCCCAGACCTTGCAAAGCCTGGCAAACAAGGAAGGACACAGGCCCTTAAAAAGAAAAGGAAAAATTCCTCCAACTCAAACTTTGTGTTTTTCTGACCATTTTTTTTTAAACAATATAAAGTAGCAGAAAAAAAAACGCACCTAGTTGAGTCGAATTTTACTTTTCCTTTTGCAGATGTCTTTCAAAAACTATTAAATCTGTTGTGATTTCCAAAGGTCACCCATGCTGGGGAAAGGATGTGGGTTCTTGATTGATTTAAACCATTTTAATGCCACATCACTGCCAAAAGAGGACAGTCACACCTTCCTCCTCCCCTTGCTTTGTTCCTGCAGTTTGATTAGTCTGTACAAGCAATTGGTCTTGAGCTGGATCAGTGAGCAGAACCAGCTCCCCCAGAAGGTCCAGGACCACAAAAGCTGTCCAAAGGACAGAGAAATAACATGTGGCTGAGGCTGAGAGTGATGAAACTACCCCTTTTAGCAGCAACCTGGACTTTAAGGGGCTTGTGTCAAGTGTGGAGCCTCACGGAAAAGAGTCACACATCTGATGTGCATCAGTCATGAAGGTCCCAAAATTAATAACAGTGGAATAAGCAGGGTTGGTTAGAAGTGATTATGAGGAAAGTGGATAGAGACGGATTTGTTCATCTGGATTCTCGTCTTTTAGGAAGTGACTGCCCCAAATTCTTTATTACTTTGAGGTGGGTTTCCAAAAAAAATGTAAAATTAGTGTTTTGCATTGAAATTGTTTGTAGTACGGATGGTTCTCACATCATTTTAGGTGCTTACCTGTAAATCCTCTGTTTGGAAACAGGAGAGGCTGGAAAGGCATAGTTATTTCTTGGGAGCAATTTGGTTTTCCAGAGATCTCGGAGCAGTGTAGATGTTTGTGCAAAACCTGTGCATGGAGGATATCATCTGATATTTTGCACTCTTGGTAGAAGACATCTAATACCACAGTTCTGCTGTCCGGTGAAGGAAAATGCACAGAGAATGCATCCTGGCTTGAGAGAGGAGGCTGTTTATAAACTGATTGAAATAACAGCCTTGGCTGAAGTTTTCCTGTTATCAGTGCAGGTTCTAATTATATAGACTAAAACTGTTATACAGCATTCCATGCCCATAAAGGAATCAGAAAAGGAAAGCATTAAGCAATTCCGCTAATCATGATCATTCAGCCATTAACTGTCTTTTTTCGCTTTTCTTTTTCACCATTTAATACAAATTATACTTATGAAGCTATATCACTTCTTTTGTGCTCAAATAAAATGGCCATATAAAAGTTGTATTTTTGGTAATATTTTAAAAGCACCTTTAAAAAGCACACTGGAGCTTTAGCAGCATTTTCAAACTGACTTATGGACTCCCCTGATTTTCTATGTGGGCCTTTCAGAAGAAATCAGATGCGTAATGCCTTTTTGGATTGCACATCAAGAACGGAAACCTTATTGATACCCAGTGATACTCTGGCTCTCAAGTGCTTAAATGGGCTCTAAATATTGGATTTAAGCTCTTTCGTCTCTTAACCACTTTAAAAGGTATTACTTAAGATACTTCTAAAATGGGAATGCAAAAAATACATTCCAATATATGTTAAATGAAGAAATATTTTTATCCTAAAAAAAAGGTTTGGGGTAATTCAGGGGCCTTCCTCTATGTTATGAGTCATTTTAAGTGTTCTCTTGTCATATAACTCAGTGTGAATTGACTGTTACTTTACTGCTTGTGACTTAGAGCTTGAGGAATCACACCAGAAATGTCCTCCTTGCTGGAACCACTTTGCTGTTAAATTTCTCATTTGGGATTGCTGCCCGCTTTGGCTTTTAATCAAGAAATTTGTCAAGTTCGTGGTAATGGACCCATTTACCGACCTCACCATCACCCTTTGCATTGTGCTGAACACGCTCTTCATGGCCCTGGAGCATTACAAGATGACGAAGGAGTTTGACCACATGCTTTACATCGGTAATTTGGTAAGTGAGTGTGAACTTGAAGTGCTGCCTCAGGAGTGGATTTCCTGCTTTTTAAAGTTTTGGCCACGGCTTGGGAAGACCCCGTTTTCATATGCTGTCAGCATCACTCTGCCGGTGACGTATTAAGCAAGTCCACATAGTCACCTCTTTCTGAGGGTGAAGAGAAATGAATGAAGGACAAGGGTCCATTTTTAATTAAATTAACATATTCTAATGTTACTAATAACCACTAAAGCCATGTTTCTGGACTCTTCCTGATAGGTATCTAGTTTGTATCTGTTTAAAGAAATGAGATAAGAGAAAGGTTAATGAGGTTTATTTGGGATTTCTTTTAAAGAAATGATAAGGCAGCAGTTCTTGGTGACTAATAGTGACTTTTAAGTTAAAAAAAACTACAGAAAAAATCAAGGCAAGATCTGGGAGAGAAACAGAGTGATGTTTGAGCGTATGTAGATATGTATGTGGGAAGGTGCCTATGGTATATATGCTATATGCCCTTTGCTGTCCTGCTGTGCCTCCCTGCCTTGTCCAGCAGCACGTGCTGGGGCCCGTGCAAACCCCGGCACAGAGGGGACAGGGGACAAAGCACGGCTGATGCTTCGAGGGGAAACTCTTAATGTGCAAGCTGGAGCAGCCAGAGAGAGAGCTGCAAAGTAAGCAGAGACCACACTTCTGCGAGGAAAAGCAGACTGGCAGATCTACAGCCACACTGCAGGGACAGCAGAAAAGCCTTTCCAGAGGCGACGTGGTACAATTTGTTAACCCAGGGGGCCACTAAAATTCTGCAGCTACTACAAAACGGAAGCTTTTTCTGTAATTGTCTTTCTCTGGGTTTACGTTTAAAAGTTACCATGTTTTACTGCTTTAAAACTTAGTGTTTAAAGCCCTTTTAATTTTAGGATAGTCTGTATTGGAAAAGGCACATGCCATCTAGCTATGGCATGGTGGAATTGCCCCTAAAATCTAGTGGGAGAAGCAGAGATCTCCTATAAGATACCATGAGTAAGTCTGGAGTACCCTGGAATGTGGTTGCTGCTAAGTTTGAATTTGAGAAGCTCATAGCGGTGATGAGAAAAGCCCTTTATTTCTATAAAATTCAAAGCTGCAGTATCTCAAAATGCAATTCACCTTGCCTAACTTTAGGTATTTACAACGTAGGAGTCTCTGTCGGAGCTGGTCGCCTTTGTCTCTCTTTAAAGTCATTGGAGAGTAATGACAATTTTAAGGCACAATTACTGTGATGTTTTAAAGACATTTACTTTTGGATAAGGTGAACTATGCCCTGGAGGCCAGTGACTGTAGTGACCATCAACTGTAGTGGGAGTATGCAGAGACACTACTGATGTGATGTCTGCCTTTAGTGAGAAGCATCCTACGCTGGCAGGTTTAGGTGGGTAGTAGCAATAATCGGACTGTTTGTATCAGTCCTAGAATACGTGGCACATCACATATGGCTTGCTTTCGTTACCCTGGTCCTTGTTATTTTTAGCTCTGGGCCTCCTTGGGCAGGTTGAGGTTCTTCTAGGCTGTGGGGCCAGTCTCCATTATTTTCAGCTGCTGTGTCTTGGCAAATCTCCCTCTTGTTGTGCTAAGCAAAAATCTGTGTGCGTCTCTCCTGCTTCAAGCCCATGCTCTTGCCCTCTGTGGAAAGCAGTGGACAAGGGTAGCTCAGAGAGTCATCTCACAGGACTGCGTCCAACTCCCCTTTCGAGCCAGCCCTCGCGTGGGGTTGTTGCTCAACAATTTGTGGCCTTCTAAGATGACTTTAGAAAACTCCTTTGGACCCAGCATCCATCAGAGCAGGTGGTAATGCTGCTGCTTCCCCCTCTGGCACTCTGGATGGTAAATGTCTCTGCTCCTTGCTCTGGTTTTGGCAGATCAGCTTCTTCCTTTGCAGACCACAGGCAGTGAAACTTTAGCCCTTGGCATCCCTCCTGCCAAGGCAGCTCCTGTGGACCTGCCAGGGCTGAGCGGGGCTGAGCCAGGTGCCAACAAGGAAATAGAGACAACGAGCAGGGGGAGGAATTGCAAAGCAAATTTTGCAAAATTTTGCAAAAAAAAATAATAAAAATGTCATTATCTCACTCTGAGTTTCTCAGCACTGCCTAGAGCTATTTCTCCTCTTTGTGCTAAAGCGCAAAATAAGCAAAACAACCTGCTAATATTTTTGTAGCAGGATGATGGCATGGGGCTCCCCTTCCCCTGAGATCCCAGGATGGGTTGGTGAGAGGCCAGACTGTCCCAGCTCCCCCTTGACAGCTTTACTAAACCCCTACATAACTGGACTGATTGCGAGTAAAGCAGGTCAGAAGAAGGTAATACCATTTTGTTGAGGATTTTGCAAAGTCATTTGTAACGAAAATTGACATTTTTTGCAATCCCCTGTGAAAGGAAAGGGAGTCCCAGCTCCAGGGCAGGCTGCCAGGTGACCACATCCCCTAAGCCGCAGACTGCCAGACCCCTCCTCTGCCCCCACGCTGGCTGGCTGTCATCTTCCCATTGCATCTAACCCTCTTTGAGTGATCTTACTAGCATTAAATTGGGGGGAATATTAAAAAGGGCAGATCTTTGGCATTTTTTTCCTCAAAACAAATGTTTCTAAGAGAAACGAAAGAATGAAAGGGGAAGATGGATTCACTTTATCTGAGAGCAATTCTTCATCTGCTGCCAGTCACTGGAGATCTCCCACTCTGATTGTCCATCTACTTCATGCAGCATCTGCTACCTTCAGACTCCTTTAGTACATCACTTACAGAAATCAACATTTTCAAATGTCGTCAGAAGACCAGCCAAGCACGTGTACATCTTTACATGGTTCATCTCCCTATGCAGTGCCACCACTTAAAAAATAGGCAGATAGTGCAAGATTCTCCCAAATTTTATTTTCCTTAAGAAACTGAGATATTATTATACAATATTAGAGCTTAAGAATTTTTTCTAATACAAAGTCCTCCAAATCAGCAGTAGCATATTTAGCACCAGTGGGATGTTAAGTTACTTGTTTTCTTTCCAACCTTTATCGTACTGAGTGTCCGGCCTCTTGTACAAGCGCAGTCACCGCCTACCAGGTGCTGGTGATTCGACAACTGTCGTTTGAAATTCGTAGCTGGTACACGTCCCCAATTCCCGATGCCTTTAGGAAGGCCCAGACATTTTGCTATCTTACTGTGACATTTCCTACTCAGAAGGCTATTGATTAAAATGATTCAGGCAAAGAAAGTGATCCTCCTGAGTCATTTCTCAGCAAGACGGTTGCATAATGTACGCAGCATGGTATCGTGGGTTTTAAGGCAGTCCCGTGGATACAATTTCACAGGCATCCAGTTTGGTCTTGTTCTCTGTCCTAAGGGAAGTTGGAGCATTGTGGTGGGAATCTTTGGTTATCTTGGACCACCATGACTCAGAAATTGTTGGCTACTTAGAAATATGAGACAGGTCATTTTTGGGGGTTCTTGTTATGAGATGATGATGGGATGACCGTCCAAATTGTTGCAGCCCACGGTTATATTTTCCTGATGAGAAAGAGAAGGTATTTTACATAAAGAATTGTGTAAAATGGCTGCTTGGAAGAATTAACTCCAGAAGCATTCCAAAGTAAAGCCAAGCCTTCCTCAAATGCAAGCTACGACCATTTATTTTTATTCCTTAATATCTTAATTATATAGTCTTAAGTATTTCCCTTACATATTTCAAGGGGTTTCCCATCTTTGTTGATCAGTTGATCAGGTTTGATGGAAAACTGCTGTGAGTATTCAGCTTATTGGAAGGAGAGCATTTCTCCTTGACTGTATGTTACTGGTATGTGAGCTCTGGATTCCCCCCTCTTTTTTGATGTACACAGTGCATTGATATTGGCTGTTTTGTGGAAAACCACGTGCTTTAATATATAAGTGCAATAGAGAATTCTTCAGAAACACAAAGCTCTGTGCACCTTGTACTGGGACTTGGAACGAAAACAAAACAGTATATGAAGAACTTGATGCCCACATTTTGTCATTTTAAGTTGACTGTAGCCTTGTGTTGTGCATTTAAACTGGTTCTTAAGAAAGGCGTACGAAAGGACAAGATCTGATTCTCTGAGATACTCTGCAGGAATGTGTTAAAACTGAATTTGCTGTCAGCAGCCTTCCTTTCCCCTCTCCCTCTGTCTCATAGGTAATATTTATATGTTGTTTTAAAGAAAAATGTTCCAATTAGAACTTCCACCATATGACATTTGAACTGGGTCATAAATAAGCAATGTGCTCCCAAGTTGCTGTGAAAAGAAAATTACTGTGACTACTTGTAAAAAAAGACTAGAATTCAAATTAGAGTTTCTAATCACCTCCGCTGCCAGCAATAACCTCAGAACGACTGGAGGCTTGCGTTGTCCTGGTATTGATGGTAATAATAACAAAATAAAAAGGGATAATACAGCAGGTACACCACAACCCAAATACCCCTTTAACACTCCCACTCCATTTGTTCAGGTTTCTCCACTGAAGTGAATAGATTTAACCTTTATAAACGGCACCTTTACACTTTGGTTTTTACTACTGGGATTATTCAGATGACAGAAGGAGATAGAAATGTATGTTCCAATCCAGATCTTGAACTCAGATGTCATTGTAAGTTTACAGCAGTATCAAATACTATTATGAAAAGACTAGACAAAGTTGTAATAGTGATAAAGAATGAGCCGGGAAAAATAAAGTATCTGCTTGTAAAATGTTTTTGGCTTTCCACTGTGTTCACCTGTATCAGTGGAAAGTCTGCAAGCAAGGAGGTGTGCCTAAAAGGTTACTTTGACTTCATATTTTCTTTCTGCAGGTCTTCACTGGGATTTTTACAGCAGAAATGATCTTCAAAGTAATTGCCCTTGACCCCTACTACTATTTTCAGCAGGGCTGGAATATTTTTGACAGCATAATTGTTATACTAAGCCTGATGGAACTGGGTTTGTCCAGCATGGGAAACCTGTCTGTTTTACGCTCCTTTCGATTGGTAATGGTCTTATTCTGTTCTTACCCCTCTTCTTTTATTAGATGTAAACTCTGACATGAATGCCACATATTTTCTTAAAAATGCATCTGCTGATAAAGACTTTAATTGCTGCAAACTAATGAACAGTACATGACACTAATTATAGGCTGCGGGATAAATGTAATTGTTCCAGATTTACATCAGGGTAAATGAGTACATAATTTGATTCCTTCTAGTTGTGCCAGGTACTTGTGGCACACTTAAAATGTTTGAGTTCCAATTTGTAATAAAAATCTGCCGTTTTATACCTGTACACCTGTTAGCATAGTCAGCAGATAATTGATAGCCCAAGAAATGCAAGAGCCAGTAACTTGTCGTTTTAGAAGTTGTTATTCCTAAATTATGTTATAAACATGCCACCGTTCTTTTAAATGTTGTCAAAAGAAAATGTCTTTGAATTATTCACAGAGTGATATTTTTTTTCTAGAACTGATCAGCATAACATAGCATCTGTCTTTCACGGGACCTCCTTAGCTGTCAGCTCCTTTGTTATGCATGGGATAGTGGTATTATATTAATGAGAGACTGTCGACATATTGGAACAGAAAAGTAGTTTCCTTGCCAGCCTGACATTTGTGTTGCACTTCATGTACCAGGATGTCCATGCTAATCATTCTGGCCATGATATGTCTTCACAACATGGAAAGACCAGGAAAATAAGCCCCTTATGGTTACATTTGGCGGAAACCTTTTTTTTTTTTTTTTTTTCCCAAAAATTCTATGCCCTGCTCAAAATTGCAAATTTTTCACCACTGCTGCTTGGTCCTGAGACTCTTCTGCCAGTTTTTGAGCAATCCCTCTTCAATAGGGCTGAAATTAATCCTTCAGGTGAAAACACAGCACAAGGGCTAGGAACCATTCACACGCTTAAAATAGGTCTTAAGTGGGACGTGGGTTGTGCATAGACTGCGTGATCCTCAGCACAGAGGTGATTTTCACCCTGGGAGCTAACAGCTAATAGCATCTGGCTGAGGCTTGCTCTGAAACTCATGGGAAATGCTTCTCTCTTTGTGGGATCGAACCCTAAACCCCTTCCCCCCAATTCCTGCCAGGCTGTTTAATTTGAGGAGGAAAAGCAACGTAAAGAAAAATATTAAGACCTGAGATTTCCTCCGTCCATCCTCTGCCCACTGTGATATTGGGGGAAGGAGCATCTAAAAGCACGTCTGTGTAATAAGGAAGGGCATAGCTCTGGAAAACTCAACTCTCATCCAAGAAGCCCAACTGATATTTTATTAATAGATGAAGTGAGGTTAACAGGAAGCATGGCTAAAATCACCTTGTACCGCACACACTGTGGCATTTAACATCTTTCACATGTTACCCACTTTAATAATTCATCAGCTGAAATGTCTGTTGCTTCTGTGAACTGACACTGTTGTTTATGTTTTGTTCACAGCTGCGAGTCTTCAAATTGGCAAAGTCCTGGCCAACCTTAAATACGCTCATTAAAATCATTGGTAACTCAGTGGGTGCCCTTGGTAACCTCACTCTTGTGCTGGCAATCATCGTCTTTATTTTTGCGGTGGTAGGAATGCAGCTTTTTGGGAAAAGCTACCTGGACAACGTGAAGAAGATAAGCACGACTGGCAATTTGCCACGGTGGCACATGAACGATTTCTTCCACTCGTTCCTCATCATCTTCCGAATTTTGTGTGGGGAGTGGATTGAGACCATGTGGGACTGCATGGAAGTAGCTGGGCAGCCGCTGTGCCTTCTCGTCTTCTTGTTGGTCATGGTGATAGGAAACCTGGTGGTGAGTTCTTGAGAATTTTTTTTCTTCCTTTCCTGGTGGGTGTGTGCAAATGTACCAATTTTTTATGCAGAAATGGCAAATCTCACATTGCTCCATGGCTTTAATTCAATGAACTGGGTTGTCACCCAGAGAAACTTGTTCATATCCCGAATACAAAATTGCTAGCATTTGCATTACTAATTAGGAATGAAAGCTTCCTGTTGGTTTTTTTTTTCAGAAGAACAGATAATGTTTTATTGGAAGAACATATATAATGATTTTACTTCTTAAGCCATTCATGGGGCTGAAGGGATTCCAGATCTCTTTTCTGTAGAGGAGTGAATTATCACTTCAACTGTCACTGTATTGGGAGATATTTTTATTTCCCTTAATTTTTGGTCCAGAACGCGTGAAACTTACAGAAAGTACAGTGTCTTTGAATAGAGTTTCAAATGTCTTGAGCCCGCATGTTCTAGGAAGCCGCACGTTGTGTTTACAGTAATGTCACTTGCTCGCTTGCTTTTTTAATAGACTACCCCATAAGCACGGCTTACATAAGCTCTGAACCTATTAAGACTGAATTGTATTTCCCTGTTGACATCTTATGGAGTGCTTTGTTGGCTTGCAGTCATTGTGGAAATGTTTCGCCTGTTCAGCTTACAGAGCATCTTTGACATTGTGGCTCTAATGGGCTTAGTGTTTATGTAGTGAGTTGTTTAATAGTACATGCTGCTATAAAAAATGTTGGATTTTGCTACCGATTGCTTTTAGCGGTTGTGTTGCTTTCAAGTATCCGATGTTTTTGGTTCTCAGCTGCTGGGATAGAAAAGTTCTTGAAAGCTTGTAGAAGAGCAAAGCACATTTTTTTTGTTTGCGTTAATTTAGATTTTAACAATTAAATTTGCACTGAAAATGTTGATTGCAAGAGCAAATTATATTTTATAGGGGTCTTTTATATAAATCAAAGATTATGATTACTCAGAAAGTGGCAAAATACTTATGGGTTTTTTTCCCTGACTTCCGTTTTCTATAGATTTGTTTGGAAGTAAATGTGATTAGAAGAGTTAGGGCAATTCATTACTATCTGCACACCTTTTTCGGGTGTTTAGCCTGAGATACAGAAATTTAATCTCCCACTGACATTAAGCAACAGATTCTGTGTATGATAATGAAATCCGAATATAATACCTATTAAATTCTGGGGAAAATGTTAACATTTGAAATATTAATGGATTATTAAAAGATGTGAATTTGCAACATCTGATTCCCTTAGATATTAACACTCATCAATGTGTTCTGTTAAATATAAAGTCTGATTCAGAGGAGATTACACTAACATTTTTGACATATATTTGACCATCAGTGCTCAAAAAAGACTGTCCCAAATGTAAACCCCGGTGTTGAAAACCTCTGTCAGCCTGGATAAACTGAAGGTACCGGTCAGCTGAAAGCAAAAATGCTGGTTTTATCCGTTTCAGCCAGCAGTTCTGTAAGCATGTGTCAATGACTGGTGAACAGGAATGATGATTGTCTGTAGATCACTCAAAAAAAAAAAAAATAAAAAAAGAGGAAATGATTCATAGGTGTGGAAAGAACAACAGATTCTGAATCATGAGACTCATCCAGTGTCAACTGCATTACACGGAGATTTCATGAAGTTGATTATCAGGTAGAGAGAATGTCCTCTCGTTCCTCTGGCATGAGCCAAATTCTTTTTTTCAGTGAGAGTAGTTTGAATTCACAAACTCACTTATTTGCTGAACATCATTAGATGCAAAAATTCTGGTAGCCAAACAGCACCATGAACCCTTTAAAATAAGAAGACTTGAGCACTAAATCTTTTACCTGTAACAGGGTTGCCTTCTGTGCCAGCAGAGTTTCTCTTTTAACTTGCCGAGATCCTCGTTCCTGCTCTGCTTTTCAAGAGTCAGTTCTGATAAGAAAAATATTACCCTAAGGCTGTATCTCATTTGGACTCTGAATGTTTTCTTAGTCTCTGAAGGCATGGAGGAAATCCTGTATCATTTTTCCCAGTGTAGCAGATCTGCACGCTCATCTACAGTAAACACCTTTACCTGTCACATATGGCGGTACTTATGGTAGTTTCTGCGGTCGCTTTCCCAACTGCAAGGCTATGTGTTACAGAGCAGACCTGCTCTTTACTGTGAAGTAAAGGATGCAAACTGGTTTTGGAAGAGTTACAACCGCTGCGATTCCGTGGTACGTTCAGTGATTTGGTTTGCAGGTCTTACCGAGCTTCACGAACATGAATTCAAAGGCATAGTGGAAGAAAAGCCAGGAAAGTTAGTAAGTGCCCTGGGCAACTTCACATTGCAGAGCAGTCCAGCTGCTGAAAGGGATTTTAGTAAATCTTAAATCTTTGGTTTATATTCATATATCCTGAAAATACCCTGGACCAGTGCAGTGCTACATGAAGCTGTGTTTACTGCTGGTCAGCTGATATTTGAGTCATCTTCAAAGAACTAAACTTTACAGCATAGTTGGAAAATCATGAGCTGTGTAGCTGCCTTTTGCACAATTTTGCTAGTAATGTCAGAAGGCATTTTTAGAGTCATTGAAGCCTCTTTGGAAAGTCGAGCCAAACCAGACAGATAATAAAATAGTTTCTCCCTCATTTGCAAGAAAGAGCTTCTGAAATTGTTAACTGAATAATTATGCTTACTGTTAAGTTTTATAAAGGGCTTAGCGTATTTCCTACGTATGCTTATGTTACTGAGGTTAATAAGGAAAATCACTGAGACAGGAATTATTAAGAAGATGTAGGGGAATTTGGGTAGCAAGGCAGTCCCCTGTGCCCCCTGCTCTGCCAGGTCAGCCGATGCGAGCGTAAAGAGTGACATCAGCCACTTCTCAGGGGACATTGGCGTGTAATGGGCGCTAACAACGTGCATGAATAAAACTGACACTTCAATCGCAGAAGGAGCAACCTTCCAGCCTCATTGTGTGTGCATGACGAACGCTGGCCCAGCCACCCTTTAATTCTTCTCACAGTCACCTGAATGAAGCCTGTTTTCTACCAGCTTTTCCTGGAATGCCACCAAGTGAAGGGCAGAAATGCTCTCGCTGTCTCTGCTCATGCTCCAGTCCAGCTGTGTGTGACACAGATGGCACCCAAAAGGCACCAGTTAGTGTCAACCCAAGCTAACAGCTGCAGTGCATTAACTCCCCCTCAGGGCTAAGATTCTGGACGGCGGTTGGCTCACCTCTGCCTGATTTACATACATCCCCATGTACTTCCATGGCACATCCACCACTGTTCCCCAATCCACCACAAGCTGGTAATTCCCGGCTGCATTTCCGTGGTGGATTTCATCTTCCTGGAGTCACACGCATGCCAAGGTGTAGAGTCTGTAACCAGGGAAGTGGCATCTTCGGAATTTTCCTGAAAGGTGAAATATAAGGCTGGAAGTGCTCTTTTAGGGTCAGTCCTAGGCATTTTCTTGTCTATTGTCCATGGAAATGCTATCCACTCAGAAAAATATTAATGACATTTTCTGAGAACACAAAGGTAGAAAGTGTCACCAATTTCTAGGGTATCAGACTATCCTGCAGGGAGAATTGCATAACCATTATCATTGAATTAGTGACTGATGCATGGAATTATGAAATACAAAGTGTAAGGTCATGCACTCAGCCCTATTTAAGAATTTATGTTATGATCAAGTAGCTTACCAACAGAAAATGTTTGAGAGGATAATAAAAGTATACATATCAGTCACTGCGTCTGAGATAATAGCATGGAGATGCCTTTGTAGTCAGTTCTGGTTAATGGAGTCTGTGAAGTCATAAAATATCTTAACCAAAAAGACATTTAAAATACATCAGATTAAATAGACCCTAAAAGTAAGGGTCTCACCAAGACAAACTCAGCTGTAGATACCCACGTGTACATATCACTCTGTCTTATGGAGCCAGTACAATGTACCAATACATTGCACGCATTAAAAAAGTAAATAAGATTCTAATACATATCAGGAAAGGTAATTACAGGGGAGAAAGGAGAGTGTCAATGCTGTGGTACAGCAACCTGCAATACTGGATATGCAATACACCCCATTAATGACTGATGCTCAAGAAAGATGAAGTACTACTGGGAAAAGCACAGCATGGGAATGTGAAGTTGATGAGGGGAATGCAGAGCTAGGCATGGGAGAACAGTTTCAGCAATGGGATACTGCTCATCCCAGAACAAAGGAGTATAAATCACTATAGGTACCTTTAGGCTGGGATTGGAAAGGAGGCTTCTGACTATCAGCACATGAGGTTGTTTAGGAGGACTTCCCAGCAAGACCAGCTACCTCCAAACCAGCAGCGTGTGAGGTGAAGCTTGATTAGTTTGTGAAGGGCACAACCTACGTTAGCAGAGGGCTTGACGTGGTGATCCAAGACTTTTCAGTCCTGTCTTCCTATGGTAATTTGAGTGCATGGCAGCAGAGCTGCTCAGCATGGTTTGGATGAGATTTGAAGTGGCCTGCTTTGGTTAAACTCAGTGGAACTCTGCAAAATTCAGATATGCCTGGAACCCATCCTTTTATTCTGCTCCCACATCCCAGGAAGCCTTAATGGGTATTTTTTCTGTTTTAACATGGCCCATGACTGTGACACACAGATATCTGGAAATGTCACATTCTTGGAAAAAAGAGGTTTGTTCCTCCCTACATGCCTTTTGTACAAGTCAGCATAGGACAGTTCCTTGAAGAGATGTGTTGGGAAAGTGCTGCTAAACCTCCATCAAGTTGTAACTGTGCATTCTCAAACTGGTCAAGTGCCAAGAAAACCTCAGTAGGTTTCATCCACCACCATTCTGATCTTTAAAAGCCAAAGTCTGTTGATAAAATGATGTATTACCAGAGCTGTTCTGACGGAGACATGTCTCTGCAGTTGGGCAAGAAATAAAGAAATCAGGTTTGGGGGAATGTGAGCAATGCATAAATTCTTAGTATTTCCACTTCAACATGTTCTTCCACAAGAATCTCCCTCCCTACCACTAGAAGGTTGTC